AAGCGGGTGGGGGATAATGTGAGATGTATTCACGTTGAGCACTAGGTTCGTTACAAAAAGTTGTGGCCTTTACCCAATGCTATAGGAGGCACCTGATGCTGCGCAGACGGCAATCGCTTACTCACGGAGCAAGGATGGGAAGACGCAAACAGATCAGATACTTAGATAATAGAGCGAATATGACTTTATTGCGAGACAAATTTCCCGGCCGCATAATCTCTCGTCGTTTTGGCAATGTCAATTGGCTGCCAAGAGAGCGATTTCACACCTTTGGACTTCTCTTGTGAGGCTACGCCAAAGATCTTATACATGCGGATAAACATTTAACTCTTGATTTTCGATGGATGAGATACCGCCCAATATGTGCCAAAAAGTAGTCAAAAATTACCTCAAAGGGATCAAAATGTTCTTTGGTGTTTGAGTTTTGAGTCATTCAACAACGAAGTTCGCTTAAATTTTGCGTGCGGAATGAAATTTCTGCGGCCGAGACATTTAAAATATTGCAGCAGGTCTGCGATGAGCAAGCTCTGTCGTTTATATCAAGCCGCCTCGAAATGGCTGATGTTTTTTAATAGGGAGGCTTTATTTCATGTCAGATTTACACGAGGGCGGCCGCAATTAGAAATATTAATTTTCTATAATTTTGGATGTTGGTCGGACCAGAACTCGAACATCTTTTTTCAGAATGACAGTAGTAGTTTAGTCTCTATGAGGGGTACAAAATATTCATGATGACAAGTCACCGCCAGAACGACCATCAGCTGCAACTGACGAGCAACGCTTTAACAAAATCAAAGAAATGGTGCACCAAAGACTTCGATTGACAGTTCGTGACCTTACAGACCTTGTTGAAATATTAGAAGGATGCGAAAAAACCTTTTTGGTCCTGAGAAAACGGAAAGCGCGACTGGTGCCAAAAACGCTTAATTTCATGGGGGAAAACATCGCTTTGAAATGAGTAAAACAACGCTTTCTGGCTATCACTACTAGATGAAATGCATTTTACGAACCATGAGACTTGGATCTACCCTTGTGGTATGGAAACAACCGATCAATCAAGTCAAAATCGAGTTGAAGGTGAGACGAGACCAAAAACTTGAATCTCGGCACGCTTTCTCAAGGGCATATTCGTAAGTGACTTTTTGGCACGCACCGAAGATTGGAAGAAACTTACATAAGGAGGGAATGAAATTAATTTGGGAGAATAAATGAATTTGTTTTTATTTATAAACAAACTGCCGGCATTTCTTTGCACTGACTACACAATCAGCTATAAAAATTTTTTAAATAATGAGGATTTTTTAGTTCCAGACAATAACTTCCTTGTCGGTCTAAAAATAAAATGTTAAGACATTTCAAAAGGTCGCTCATCCTTTACTTCACTTTAAACTCGATCCTTTCGGGTTTCCACCTTCTCTTCTCATCATCATCAAAAGGAGTTTAAGCTTTCATTAAACTTTGGGCTACCTTTTAGATCTTTGTGTAACGATTTTAATACACATTTCCTCAACATTGATTCCTCTGACTCGCTTTTCTGTATCAAAATCTACTTACTAAGTGCTTTAAATAATTAATAAATTCTCTCTTCTTTTCCCCATGCAATTTTATAGCAGCTGATGAACAAATTTGTAGCTGTTTAGTGAAAAAGGCAAGTGTAACCGCGACCTTCCGCGATGGGTTTCGGGTAAAGGGCAATCCGAGCTGTTATTGGTTTTCGGTCACCGGTCTGTTGGATTTTTCGATTTCCCTCAGATAAGCGCCTCGGTCGGTTGGGCGGGTTCGTCGTAAAAAAAAGACATGTTTTTTTCTTCATCGTTTTCGTTTAAATTTCAAACAAATTTGCGCAGCTTGTTGTGCGACACACCTTAATGATCTCAACGAAAACAAAGGAAGCTTCCGACTGGTCTCATCTGTTTGTCGAAACAAAAGGTCTGATCGGAATTCTTGTATTCAACTTTAATGGTTAAGAGAATATTTTTTTGTTTTAATTTCTCTTATCACTGTATACTTAAGCCATTTCTACGGTCATAAAATAATATGTACATACACAGCTACATCCGAGTACATATGTATATGTAAGCATGTGGTAAATCTGTACATACTAAAAAAGTTTAAAAAATTTTATTTCTGCTTATCACGCCTTAAAATCTTAAACGCTTAAAAATACAACAGACTGTGCGATACTTAATTAAGTCAAGACAAGAAAAAGCTTGCATACGCACAAAATTATACAATGCAAGCGCACAAATGTGTCGTTTGGTAAGCGGGTTAATTGCATCTTCACTCATTTCGCATTAATTTGTAACCAAACTATTTTTAAAGAATTTCATATTATAATTTATTTTTGCCTGCCACATTAACTGCCCTTTGTTTTAAATGAGATCAGCACCGCCCATTTTATCGATAAGATTAGTCAAGCTGGTTATGGGCAATCGTTTTACGATTTATTTGTTCGTGTACACGTATGTGAGTATGAGCAGCTGCCGAATGCTTCCGTGTTGGGGAGGGCTTAACCACTATTTGAATCACTTTTAAAAATAAGAAGCGCTTAAATGTTGTTATTGCAATTTATTTAAAACATCGAAAGTAATAAATCTCGAATTTCGGAATGCAACATATATATATGTATGCGTGTATTATAAATAAAATAAAATTTTACTTTGGGCACTGCCGCTTTAAAAAGGCAATAAATTCCGAAAATTTATTAATGTGAAATTAATATTTGTTGCTATAAATAAATTTATAAATTTAATACAATTCGCATTCTTCGATCAAGCGATTAAATTACATATATTAAAATTAATGATCCACTGACATTTGAATTATAATTATATAAATATAAATATTTATATTGTAAGGATTTATTATTAAATTAAACTCGATGATATCCCAAGTCCTTCGAGTTCGATCATTGGATTTGTTAAATAAAAGTACCAAGATTTGTTGTACAGATTCCTTTTAGTAAACACACAGTTTACAAACCATATACTTTACTCCGCTTTACTCTACGCCGATGATGTCACTACCGAGTTCCAAACTCAATTCGAAATGCCTCTCTTATAATCTGTGAGCAAAAAGTAAGGTGAATTTGTTTGTAAAATTAAAAATCTTTATTTATTCTAGTACATCGATTATGCCGACTTCAAAATAGTTCCCTGCCGATGCAATGCACTTGTGTCAACGCTTTTTCCTTCAGAGAGCGCGCCGATTCTTGTTTAATCTCCTCAATCGACTCAAAACGGTGTCCTAGAAGTTGTCTTTTGAGTTTTTGGCAGAACAAAAATCACATGAAGCCAAGTCCACGTCTCATCTCCTGAAATCATGTAATTCAGCTTGTCTTGGAAGTCAGAAAGCATGGTTTCACACACATCAACACGACGATTTTTTTCCATGAAATTGAGTGTTTTTGGAACCAAATGAGATTTGACTTTTCATAGGCCCAAATAGTCGTTTTACAGATCCTTCTGATATTCCAACCATATCAGCAAGGCCTCTAACAGTCAATCGACAATTTTTGAGCACTAACTCTTTAATTTCATTGACGTGTACCGCATCAGTTGACGTTGATGGTCGTCCCGAGCGCTCTAAGTCATCAACACCTTTCCTGCAGTCTTTGTACTAATTATACACGTTCTTCTGTGACATAGTAGAGTCCCCAAGGGCTTTCTGTAGCATCCTAAAAGTTTCAGCAGCCGAAAAATCGTGCCGCAAACTAAATTTGATCGCACTTCTTTGCTGAATCAGGCATTATAAAAAGCGCCGAAGGCATCTTTAGTCGTTCAGTAAACACAAGCGTAATCAACATTAAAAAAAGAATTAACCTGAAATATTAAACTCGCGAAGCTCAAATTAAAAATTCGTTGCTTTGGATCGTTCTGCTGGATCGTTCTCGATAGCGAACATGAGCTACACGCGCCCCAGAGCATTCTTTGGACGATCTTCTAAGTAAAAATCTCAGATCAAGTATTCTTTGTAGGCGAATTCATTCTGTTATATTTTCCTGAGTTACGTATTGAAATTAAAGGGTCCTTTTGGCTAATCGTTTTTGAGCCTAAGCTTTTTTATACCAAATAAAATACATGATGCTCATTTGGAACCACAAGATGTTAACTAATTAATTAGTTTTGCCTGAGTTTATTAGCTTTAATTGTAGGTTAACGATTTATTTAATATTTTTTACTTTTTCTGTGAGATCCTTCCATTTTCTTGCATCTTAAACTGAGTTGCGTTCAGTTGTTGTGCCCACTAGGTCAATGTAGTCGACAAAAATAAATTGCATTGATGTGGTCTCGACCCGTAATATCGGGTGGGCCTTGAAGAGTTTGAGCTACCGCGGCTGGGCTTGCAGTAGCCCATTCTGTTCTGTGTGTCGACCTAATTTTTTGAACACCTTTTAAATTGTGTGACTCTCTGTGGCTGCGACTTCAATTTCATTTTTCAAATCATAAGTATTCTCTGAATGGATGAAGTGGCACTCATACATATAATCCAACGTAGTCAAATCGCAGCTGCGAGGCGGACAGTTGACATCAATGGGCAATACGATAATTTTCTTCCAGCTGTGGTTGCAGATTCACTAATTCAACGCTTACCAAATTATCTTCAATCGTAAACTTAAATTTTACAATTCATCCTACTTTTTTGATCATGTCTTACCCAAGATCGGCTTAGTAACAATACAATTTTTGTTATTGTTTGAACTTACTGGTGAAGACCTATCTGAGTAGGGTGTTTGACGAGGTAAGAGGTATATATAACCAAGTTAGTGTGGTTGGGATGGCTCACCTTCAAGCTCGCTTATCGACCGCACTATTCTCTGGAACAACCCTGCACCCGGCAACGTCCAAAAGCGTACAATTTACTTCTGATAGAAAGTTTGTTTGGAGTTCCCAGCACCTAAATATCCATTTTCGACGTTTCGCTTTCATTATTTCACACATATGTACATACATATTTGCATTTTATAGCATTTAATAATTTATGTTTATTGTAATTTGCAGGAGCGAACTGAGTCCTCCAGTTTCACACACTACGATGAAGACTCACTGCGTTTAGTTGTGGATCTGAACGATGACCAGAAACTCAAATACGACGTAGAGATTCTAGAACCGCGAGATGTTAAAAAAGAAACAGCAGAGTTGGAAGAGAGATTTAGGTGAATGGCAGAAAAGTACAAAAAAAAAAAACATAACTAATCAAAACTGTATTCCTTTTATTGCAAACTCACAGAGGTCCATCTATCAAACTGGACACCGATAACTTCGTCGCCGAGGATATTGAAGTGAATAGTGGCAAAGTGGCTGGTGTAAATGCCGCAGTACGCAATGAAAAAGCGAATGTAGACGAAGCTACTGCAGTGAACCATAAGAATGATCATGACGATGATCATGATGATGATGATGAGGAAGAGGAGAAGGAGGCAGATGGCGATAAGCACAATCACATAATACTCACATTGGTGCTGGTCTTTGTGGCGCTACTTTCGATTACAATATATATTGCGTTGGTGCTCTGGCGTTCATATCTTGAGTAAGTAGTACACATTTACACGAGTTTAACTAGAACCGACCAGTGACTTCGGTTCACAATCAAGTGAAAGAGATTGGGTTAAATTAACCGAGCAGTGAATGCCCGTTAAAAGATCTTTGTTTTTATGTGTACTTGTATGGGCGGTTGCCTAAAGTAAAGCGTGTCTTTTTAGAGACGTAGTTTTCAATTAGTCTATTCGTTTTTCGGAGTCGGCTTTTTTAACAGCTGTTACCTGATTTATACTCTGTTGGTTTGCCATTTCATAATGAAGGGACTTACTCCGGTATACCGTTTGCAAATCGTGCAAAATTTTTCGGCGTCTAATATTCGGTCGACATAATCACCCAGCAGAGTCGGCATTTCCAGCAATCATGGATCGGTTTCGCAGCATGCGCATCCTCAGAGATGGCGTAGAGTGAGCACTGAAGACCGAATGAGTCCATACGGCGAATACGGCGAAATTGGCATAGTTCAGCGAATCAAGGAACAGAATACTCCAGCGTTAAAAAATTTCGTTGCTGTACCCGGCAGTGGAAGCAGAGGAGGAACAAGACCTCCACTCCGTTGGAAAGACTAGGCTGTATTTGGTATTTCCGATTGTCGCCAAACAGCTTTGTTGTTAACTCGGCTATAACCGCGTAAGCGTTGTCATGGCAGTAAAGTAAGTAAGTAAGAATTGGAGAATGTTGATGTGGACCAGCTTTGGTTCCGACAAGACGACGCTACATGCTATACAGCCAACGAATTAATCAATTTATTGAAGGACATTTTTGGTGAGCACATTATCATGCGACGTGGGCCTGCAGCGTGGTCACCAAGATCGTGCGATTTAACACCGCTGGACTATTTCTTGCGGGGTTATGTTAATTCGCATATCTACGTAGATAAGTCCAATACGTTTGACGCCTTGGAAGAGCATATTCGGCGGGTATTGCTCACATGCGGCCTCGATTGCGGCAAAAAGTGTTCGAAATTAGACCTCTCGGCTGGTATTTATTCGAGTCACTTGCTCGAAGTTATGTGTTGTATTCGTCTTGAAAACAACTTATTTAAAGACACCCTTTATGTAATTGCTTCTCTGTTATGTACATTCATTTATTACTTATAAATCATTTTAAAATGTTAATTAATGGACTAAACTATTGTAAATTTTTTCTTTTTTCATTTTCTTTTCTTTCATTAGGCGACGTTACGCAGAACGTGAATTGCTTGTAAGCGACGATGATGACTTTTATTTGCCCAGCAGTGAGGCAGCGGATAGACGTTGGTGATTTTAAAAAATAAATTACAGACGTATTTTCTTGTGTACATACACACATACTCGTAATCTAAGTTTTACTTTCAATGAACTGTGACTGTCATCAAGCATTTTTCATTGTAATGCAAGTTTTTCCCCCGATCATCAAATATGTAGTTGCCGCTGATTCGATTCAAGTCAATTCAATTCAGCACCAGTTAGTTTTCACCTAATCTATGAATATTAATATATTTTTGAATGTAATGAGAATGGTTTTTTTTTTATTTAAGACACACTTAAATTCAATTGTTTTTGTTTTTTGTTCAATCAACGCTGCATACTAGTTATTAAAGGGCATTCGCCAACACATCTCCACTCGTTGCAAAATCGCTCAACTAGTTGAAACACTGGAAATACGTGTATGAACTTGTCATTGTAAACAAACGCGCCACGTGGGAGTCTCTGTTGCGCGATTGCGAAAAGCCAGCGTAATTTATATTGACTGAAAGTGTAAGGAAAAGTGATTGGGAGGAAGTTTGAGCTAAATTACAATGTAAAAACCTGCCCAGAATGTAGACTCATTACGAATGCGGAAATTTTACGCGCCAACTAGTTACTTTTCCATTGTGTTAGTTATTGCGATTATTACGGATTTCGATGAATATTAATGTCAAATGTCAAATGAATTGACGAGTAGTTTTTTATTGCAAATTTTAAACATTTTATTTATTTATCGAAAGCGGCAAATCCCATGTTATTAGCAGTTCGTTCATAACAAAGTAATTTTACTAAAAGTCTATAGTTATATACATACATACATACATGTATGTGTACATAAATGTGTATGTGTATAATAGGTGCACTAGAAAAAACTTTTAAATTACTACAAATGTACAATATAAACATACATACGAGTATACATAAGTAAAAGTATAATATAGAACTCACTTTAATTGTATTAACTAAATGTATGAAAATAATTGTTAAGCTGTGATATTGATTTAGGACTAACTCAACTACATACATATAAATATTAAAAGCATTTAATCATGTCACGAATTGTTTTCATACAAGTATGTTACATACACATGTAACATTTATTGTTTTTGAAATTAACAGAGGAAATTGTTTTCATAATTTTCCGTGGAAATGAATAAATGATTTATATAAACTAGATGTTGCAGGAAAAAATTACTATAAATATGAAATTATATAAACAAAATGTGTTAATAAAGGAAACAATTCAAAAGCGTTTATCACATTTCTAGTGAAAAGGCAACTTTATAACGTTAAAGCAAAAAAAAATATTCTTAATTTTTAAGTGAAATATTTAATTCGTTTAATTATAATTACTTTAAGTTTATCAATAATTAAAGAAAAATTACAACATTTAACTGTAAATGAAATAAAAATACATACTTTTGTTCAAAAAAAATAAATTTAAATATTTGAAAAATATATCTATGTTTGTACAAGTTCACGCGACAGTCGTTTGAGTGATGAAATATTACACATATAATTGCAAGGTTTAAACTTTATAATAAATAAATAAAAAAAAAATTTATGTTAGAGTGTGTTTCATTTGAAAATAGTAGCTGATAGTAAACAAAGCGCTATATTGGTTCATAAGATTTTTCAAAAAGTGAGGTTATGTTAAAAATTTTTTTGAGTTAATTTCTTCGCAATGCTACGATTAAAGCATGATAATTTTTTTATTTCCTAGTATCAATTTTTTTTATACAATTATGAATTTACCGAATTAAAAAAAAACGGTGCGCAATTCTGAAAAAAATAAAAAATTAAAAACAAAGCTTTTTTTTTTTGGTATATGAATGTTTATAAAGTAATGAAATCATAAAAGAAAACGGTCTCATGAGCAAAAAAAATTGGATTTTAATTCTTTCCCCGTTTGTTGTGTCGCTTTTGAAAACTCGCATTATGCATAAGGTCTAAGAGTTCGAACAATTATTTGAGCAATCGAGCTCCTCGCAATGCTGAATTTCCGGGCATATAGAGCTCTAGTGGGAATGTTTAAGCACCTATTTCTTTTACATTTCTTTTTTTTTTAATTCTATTAGTCATTCGAAAAGGCTCCCTCCACCTTATTTCTTCTGGCCATACGGTACCGTACAAGGATAGAGATAAAGTGAATTCTTCAGTTTACCAGCTACAAAAATCAATAGGGAAGCTAAAATGTTGTAAATGTTACACAAATATCCTCTAAATCGCGCCACTGCTTTTGCTTTGTCCAGACTGGATAAGAATGTTTTGATATTAAGTATACATTCAACGCATTCGTGTCCCGATTTCGACAATCACATATAATTTCGTCTATTTAGGAACAAGAATCAACAACAATAATGTCAATCCTTGCCGTCAGCTGCTACTTTGTGATACACATGAGTGGTTGTTGGCAACTTTCTTGACGACTCAAGATTACTATTAGGTGTAGTGAAATTAAATGTCTAAATTCTTTCGTTTCGTATCCAGCCTAATTCAAATGGTTCCAAACGGTTTTTTGTGCAATCTTTAGCTCTTGGGTAATCGAAACAGTGCTTAATTGACATTCGTACTCGCCAATGTCCATGATTTATTCGATGATTGGTATTCCGCTCCGTGAAGCATCTTGTAAGTCAAAATTAACGGAATGAAAATGAAATTGTGAGAGAAACTCCTAAGTATGCCCTATCCAAAACAACGATAATCTCTAAAATCACACTGTGTTGTAACGGGATATTTTGAATTATAAGTTGAAATCAATGAATCATAAGGCCTTATCTACACCAGCAATCACTGATGTGCTAACCGGCAATTGCTAATGGTCGGCAATATATGTCAGAACTTATTGGCTCTTATCTATTACCTGCCATAAACTGTTAAATTTTCCGCTTCTTTTTGTTCTATTCTCTGCATTAAATGCTTTTAGAATTTCTAAATATATTATTACTATTTATTATTATGAGCCTACATGAAAAAACTGGCACAAAATTGGCTTCCAATTATATGTCATAATAACAATTGGTACTCCTCTCATTAAAAATGGTTTCCTAATTTCTGTGTGCAAATTATTTTAAATATCAAAACCGAAGCACTCAGTAAAATGTTATGCATGTTCATACATAAAATAAATATACGCGATGAATTAAGAACCCTATATTTCGTCGGTTAATAACAGCAAATGAAACTTTACTACTCCTTGTTGGGATCGAAGTAGTTTCCGCCTTATAAAATCTGTCAAACTAATGCCCTTTCAAAACTTACTTTCCACTCATTCCAATTGGTGCCTGAACTAGTTTGATCGATATGTTTATCGAAGTGGATGGCATACTTTGTCATTCCAAAGGGTATACATTTAAAGAAAATTTAAATCGAAATCGCAGATAAACAATTGGTAAATTTTTTTAAATTTTTGGCTTCCCAAATATCTTACAATCTTCCTACAAGAGAAATTAAAGACAAAGCTTAAAATCTTTAATGCATGCATTCAGTCTTTCAAAATATGTACAGTCTTGGGCAAAAGTATTAGGCACCCCACTAATTACTGAATTTTTTGTTTTAACAAGCGAAGTAATGAAGTTTTATTAGTAAAATAGTGAAAATTCAATGAATTAGTGATAAAAACATTAATATTTAGTAGGTCCACTCTTCGATTTAATAACGGCTGCAATTCTTTTAGGCATGCTGCGTACAAGCTTTGCACATTCATCCGCACTTATAGCGTAACACTCGTTAATTAAGGCATTATTTAAGACAGTTTTTGATGTTCCTTTATCTTGCGTTTTCAAACAGCCCACTTGTTCCCGATGGCATTAAGATCCGGAGACCGGGCAGGCCAATCTAACAAAACAATGTTGTTATCTCTAAACCAACGCATCGTAGTCGCTGATTTATGACAAGAAGGAGCAGCTTCTAATACATTTATGTACTTTTGACTGTGCATGGGACCCTCGCAAACGAACATTTCGCCGACACCATCAGCAGCCATGCATTCCCAGATCATATGCTGCTTCCTCCATGTTTAACAGTGGGTACCACGCAATCTGAATGATATTCTTTCCCAACCCGTCGCCTCACGAACGCCACACCAGATGTTCCAAATATCTGTAGAAAAAAAATAATAATGTTTTCATAAAATTTGTATTATGTCTTGGAAATTGCTCTAGGGTAAGAAACTATGACTGTTAATACTTTAAGACGATCTTAACTTCTCTTCTCTTCTTCCGTGAAGTTTTGGTATCGGCGAGCCCATTCCAAACGGTTTTTCTCATTCTTTTCTGAGAGCTACGGCTTCTTTCGGGCTTCACATTGGTTTAATGGTTTTGAAATCCTTAAGTTGACTTGACTTTTAGTATTATACAATTTATTCGTTTAATCAACAGTTATACACCCATGTAAGACATTTACAAAAAGAAGTGGTAACTTTGGTAGCCACATTTGAGAATACTTGTATTATAGTGGGGTGCCTAATACTTTTGGCCAATGCTGTATGCAGTGTCACATATTCTCAATCTCACGGATCGAAGAGTATACCAAAAATCAAATTTATTTATAGCCCTAAGCGCCTAATTTATTTCCGTATACGCTGAACATCCAACTACTAAGTAATGCTCAATCTACATTTCTTGAAGGTTCTACCCTAGTATCATGGCAAATATGAAGAACATGAAGCAAAACGTTCTTGGTCATAATCAGTTATATTTAATTTATTTAAATATTTTTTCCTTTTTTCCAGCGCAAATCTATTGACAACCCCAACTGGATTGATAACTTAATGTTAACGCTTTTATTTAATTTCTTTTTGTTGTCAAAATTCTATAAAATAGATTTTTGCTTAAGACATGATCAATTCAATTGCTCAAAGTAGTAACTTCACAATTTCTTTTTAGTTTCCTAATATAAGCTTGCAAATATGTTAACGAACACATTAAAACCCAATGCGAAAACTTTTGAGTGAAAAATCCACAAAACTCGCTTTCAAAGTGTTTTCGATTTCAGTCCAAAACAGATATTAGTGAGATATCCACGTAAGGGTGATTTATCGATAAATCTATTTAATCGATACAAATCAAGTCGGTTGGCTCATTTAAAAATTTCGACTTTCTGAAGCTTACTAAAGTAATTTAAGCTGAATACTTTAACAAGCATTTGTAACTTATTTAACGACATTCCTTTTCAGGCGACTAACAATACAATTTGTTATTCAACAAAACTCTGGAAATAAATTTGCCATATGGCATCATTGAGACTGCGGTTATCGGTGCTATTCTTTACAATGACGTTCGGCGTACGCTTCTTCTGGCTTGCTTTTCGGCGAAGTTTGACAATTCAGCAGTTTAATTTGCAAAAAACTTGAAGACTTTCATTTTTTAACAAATTAGAAAAGCTCTGAAAGTATTCTTTGAAAATGTCCGAAAATAATGGTAAGTGAAAAAACTTAAAGGAAAACGGATTCCGCTGTTTTACTTCCAATTTACATAAAGCAAATATATTGGAAAGAGATGAGCGTTTAAGGGAATAAACTAGGCGGCACTAGCATACGAAGAAGCAGAAGAAAAACTTGAATTATTCTGGAAGTATAAACCGGCAGTTACACGTTTTGCTTGTTTTCATTTTAGATACATCCAACGAATCAAACAGCCTTGGTAGTGACTCAATTTTGCAGGCCTCGCGTTTAACAGGAGGCGGTGTTAATCCTATTGTACGTTCAGGCGTATTACGACCGTCAGTGCTTGGTCCATCGGTTTTGGGTGCAGCAGCATTAGGCAATGGTAATAACAACTCGCTTGCAAATGCCAATGCTAATGCAATTTCCAATTCGACAGCTACATCCAATAATGTCGAAAGTAACGAAGAGGATTCAGTAAGCAGCACAACTAATAACAATCCATTTATGCGAGAAGAAAAAGATGAAGAGGTAGAAGAGTCTGTAAATAATGAAGCCATAGCTGAAGAAGGAGCTGTCGGCGGTGAAGTCTCTAATGATAATAAGGCGTCAGAAGATAAAAAAACTGCGGACGATGATGAAACAGATGAAGTAAGCTAATTTAATTAAATTTTTTACTGTGTACTATAAAAAGTGTATACCTTATTAATGCTTTTTCTTTGAAGCGTGTTAATCCTTTAAGCATGCTACGTAAAAACGGCTTGGAACGTGCAAATCTATTCGCGGCTGCTAAGAACTCTATACCACTGGTGGAAAAATCTGGTTTCGTATTCGGTCAGAATGTACATGAACGTGTTGTTGGTGTAAGAACAAGCTTTTATTGTTTTGTTTTAATGAATTTTTATTATTATTCAAAATATGTATTTGGAGGAATAATTTTTTAATTAATTTTTAAAGGAGAATATTAATACTGATGGTGCGGCGAGGTCGGAAAACAATGACGCTTGCTCATCTACTTCTGGGGAATTACTATTCTCCAGTGTTATACAAAATGCGGCCAAAGCCGGTGAGAATGATAAAGGTGCTATATCAAAAGATAGTGAAACTAAGACACTTACTGATGTGGCGCGTGAATATGAAGAGAGTCGTGCGCAAAAACGTAAATACGAAGAGGTGGAAACATTCACGGGCGAAGAGAATGAAGTTAATATAGTTGATGTAAGCTACATACAAATATTTTCCATTTTTAAATCACACTTATACAATTTTTCTTTGCAACTCAGGTAAATTGTAAACTGTTTGCCTTCGTCAATAGCAATTGGGAGGAACGCGGACGTGGTAGTATGCGATTAAATGATTCTAAAAATCAACAAGAATGCTCGCGTGTTGTGTTTCGAACATCGGGCAATCTGCGTCTCTTGTTGAATACCAAGGTACGTTCCTAATTGTTGTAGTATAATTAAAGTAGTTTGTTTATTTTTCAATGAATTTGTTAGGTTTGGGCTGGTATGGTTGCTGAACGTCCCAGTAATAAATCACTACGTCTTACCGCAATGGACAACACTGGAAAAATTAAAATCTTCTTAGTAATGGGACGACCTGCAGATATGTCTCTACTGCATAAAGAGTTGTTGGAACGAATCGAACTACGAAAAGCCTCACATCCGGAGGAATGTCGTGCGCCGGCTGAAACGAAAAACGGTATTGATTCGACATCTCAACATGAGGAAGAATCAAAGGAAGCCAAAGCCACGGCGGTACCAGATCACGAGGAAAGCACAGAACCAAGTCCCAAGAAACCAATGGTTAAAGAAAGCAGCAACTAATACACCGATATATAATAATATAACAAACAAAAACAAAACAAAAAAAATTAAAAATAAAAAGATAATGAAAGAAACAATCTCTTAATTTATGGTTTACGAAACGAAAAAAGAAATATATATATAATAAGTATTCGAAAAATTACCGAAAATTTCAACAAGCACATACGAGTATGAATTGCTTAAAGCCTGTAAATGAAAATGTAGAATGGTAAAAATAATACATAACTCCATTTATAATGGAAAAGGAGACATAAGCTGTTTTAAAACTCAAAAAATGGTCATGTGCTTAAAAATGCAAACAACAAAAAGCGTACATTGATTCCTTTTATACATTGTATAAACAACAACGAAATATACGAAGCGCAGTAGGAAACATTAAATCAAAACTTAGACTAAACCGAGGGTCGTAGAAAAGTTTATACTTACATACAAACATACAAACAAACATATTTATTAAGCACTGTGTTCCAGTAGATGTTCGACAATTAGATGGGTTTGTGAATTCAGTGTCTAAGCACGAATCACATGAGTTGCGGTAAAAAAATAAAAAAATAATTCAAATGAAAAACAAAAAGTAAAAAATATTTTATATTAAAAACTTTAGGCACGTGCACATACGTACGTATGCTCTGTAGTTGAAACACTTTTTTTTTGCATTACAAAACATTTTATTGTTTGAAATAATTTATTACAACATATTACAATTAAATTATCATCATTAAGCCGTTTATAATTTTCCCATTTTAAGGCCTCTTTGTGTAGAGTTTTTTTTATAGAAACATTAACATATTGAACACCTACATACTTACATACATACATAAATACTTGTAGTTGTATTCTAAATGTAAACAAGAATTATAATCTGTTTTTTTATAATCAATTAAAGCCTAAATCAAAATGTATAAAACATTTGGGTCTAAATGTAAGCGGAAGTAAAACAAAAATCAATGAACATTTGAAAAAAAAGAACAAAGAAATGAAAGAGGAATCGTGAAAAATAAAAAATAAATTTAGATTTCTGTTCCTTGTATTAAATAAAAATTGAAATTTCAAACAAACAGACACTGTTGTTGATGGATTGATTTTGCTCTGTTATTGTTGTTGAAGTTGTTGTTGTTGTTGTAATCACAAAAATATTCCCCAAAGTACTTTTTGGGGAATGTTGCGAAAGTGACAATCCTCGACCAGGTAAATATCCAGTATGAAATGGTATCGTTTGGATGAGGGAAACATAATTTTCTAAATCAGTTATACTTCAGTACGGTTTTGGTTCTGAATCTGTACCAAATCAAACCCTCTCTTTCAAGTTAGGGAACCTACACTTGTATACGAATAAGATTCTGTCCCTTCTACGATCAGCCTAGGATCATGGACTATACCGATCGGTTCAGAATGACCAGTTGAGTTGCTTTAGTTACGCTCGTTTTATTGTCTGTTGACCTCAGTTTTTGAGATATTTCAACCAAATTTGAGAATTCGGGTCATCATCTTCTTCTTCGTTGATTTTAATGCGACCTCAAAGTTATGGCTGTCAACAGTGACGTGGGAGCCGAGTCGCAAATGCGATGACTGTGTGTGTGTGTGATGACAGGAGATATTTCGTCCTGCCCTGGTTCACTACCACTCTCATTTGCTTCGCTTTCTTAGCAAGTCTGGAGAAAGCAAAATAAAGGCGCGGTCTTTAACGTCTAAGATATCAATGTCAACGACATGCGCCCACAGCTGTACACTCGTGTAAAAGATTGTGCTTTGGCTATTTAGCTGATTTTCACTAGCATCAAATTGAGGTAATCACAGGATAAAGAATCACCTTGTCTGAAACCTCGATCGAAATTCCAATTCTGACTGCGCCTCTGGTATTTTCTAGCGCCAGTTTACTAAAATCTATAAGCCAATAAGGAACACGAAACTCAGTCCTAAGGACGTAGAGGCAGTACATACTGTGATTTCGAAGGTGACATTGAAATCGATGAAAAGGTTTGCCAAGATTTGGCGCATGGTGAATGTCTGGTCAAATATTGACTCACCAGGTCTGAAGTCATACTGATAATGTCCAATCAGTTTGTTTTCGGTGGTATTTAGTCTCTCACACAATACACTCGATAGTACCTTATAAGTAAAATATTGGAGGCTAATCTCACAGTAAATGGAGTATAATGTGGGATCCCCCTTTTTGGGGATTGGGCAGAGCACACTTAGGTTCCAATCGTCGAGCATTCTTTCGTCCGACCATATTTTTTAAAGAAGCTGACGCATTCATCGTATCAGGTCTTCATCGCCATGTCTGAATAGTTCCGCCGGTAAGCCAACTGCTTCAGCCCATTAGTTGTTCTTTAAGCGTACAATTGCCATTAGAGCCTACGCCTGAAGAACGTTTACAAATCGGTCAACTTTATTACAAAAATTCACGTTCTGTAAAGTATGTACTCAGGGCGCTTCGCCCAGTTTATGGTCAACATAATCGGCCTATTGAGCGTAATTTTCGCAACACCATCACCCATCTTGAGATCCAGCATTCATTACTGGATAATATTCGACCGAATATACCACGTCCAACATGCAGTGCGGAAAATATAGCGGCCGCAGCTGAGACTGTGCACAAAGACGGTGGAGAGTCAATTCGGCGCCGTTCGCAGCAACACGGACTGACGTATGGAACGACTTGGCGCAGATCTTAGAATGAAAGCGTGAAATATGCGGCTTGTGCAAGAACCGAAGCCGCTCGACCTGCCCAAGCGACAATACCTATCTCTATGGGCTCTTAAAAGGTTACATGAAGATTCTCTGTTTATTTTGTTCAGCGATGTGATTCATGTCTGGCTCAATAGGGTAGGTAAACAAACAAAATTTCCACATTTGAGACCTCTAGAGATTGAAAAACTACCATTTAATCCAGAAAAAACAACGGTTTGGTCTGGTTTGTGTGCCTTTGGAATCAACAGACCATCTTTTTTCAAAAATGTTGCCAGTGAGATTGTAACTGTCAATATCGAGCGTTATCGCATCATGATAACCGGCTATTTGATGCCTAAAATTGAAGCGCGTAATCTCGGCGACATTTGGTTTCAACAAGACGGCGCCACTTCCCACACAACGCATCAATCAATGGATTTATTAAGAGAACACTTCGGTAAACAGATAATTTCACGTTCTGGGCCGTTGGATTGGCCACCAAGATCGTGTGTTATAAGACCGTTAGACTTAGGCATATGCAAAGTTGAAAGTCTATGCGTACAATTCCTCTTCGGTTGAGGCCTTGAAGCAAAGTCAACTCGCCAGTTAACAGTCGAAATTCTCGAACGAGTCATGGAAGATTGGACTCAACCGATGGACCATCTGAGACTTAGCTAGGCTGCGGCTTGAGATAATCCTTAAAAAATAAATGCCAAAGAATGTTCTTTCGAATGATAAAAACCCCATTCAATTTGATTTTTTTGGTTTTTTTCCTGACAAAAGTAGAGAACTTCGAAATAGATCACCCTCTAATTTATACTTACCAGCTTTTATAGCATTTCTTGCAGGTACAACATATTTAAACAACATTATTTTAATCGTTGGTTTGATTTTTTATATTTTTAATAGTAAAAATATTTATGTATTCTATATCCTAATGATTTTCTTCTTAGTACACGCCAACTTTTCCTAACCAGCTACGCTAAAATTTATATAGTTTTTTCATTATATTATATATATATATGTTTAAATATATATGTATTTATGTATATGCTGTATATTATAATAACATCACTAATTTCAATTTAAAATAAAATTATTTTTAGCACATTTAATGTAATTTTTTTTTAATTTTCCAAANCAAACGAGAGACATTTGGACAAACAAATATATAAGTATATATAACACGAAAACATTTTTGTGATTAGCAGGAGAACAACTATTATTCATACAGAAATTAGAAGTCAAGAAAGCGAGTAATAAACACTGCGAAGAAATGAAAAAAAACCCGAAACATTTCAATGAAAGACAAAAAGTTTGTTTGCTTGAAAAGAATCGAAAAATCCAAAAAACAAACAAAAAACAAATCAAAAATAAAAATGAAGGCGATAAATTTGGTATGTTACATACTTATATAAGTCTTGTTTACAGAAATAAATATTTGTTTATAACTTAAAAAAATACTTTTTACAATCATATGTATGTATGTATGTTATTTATATTTCTTTGCTTAAATTAGACTAAAACAATAAAAACAAGTAGAAGAAAACGTAAAAACGAGAGCAAACATATTAAAATAACTTGGAAATGAAATAACGAAAGAAGAAAGGAGCGTAATAAGTATAAATTAGGATAAAAGTACATAACAAAAACTAAAACAAAATATTAAATTAATTAATTATTTAATTTAAAATATTTTTTTAAGCCAGTATATGTATATAGATGTATACGGCACACCATAAGATTTCGAAACAATAATTAATGTTTAAAAAAAAAAATAGAATAATTTTCAGCTCTAAAGACGCAGGTATTCGGTTATAAATGACGGGTACATGCGTATGCGCTTATAATATGAAAAGACATATGTAAGTTTGTCAGTATGTTGGGATTTTTTCGTGGTTTTTAAAACGAGCGTAAGATCTGCATAGAGTGATTGATATTAAACAAATTTTATATATAATTTTTTTTCTTCTAATTTTCAATACACTATCACTAGCAAAAGCAGCGAAATCAAAACAAAAAAAAAACAAATAAAACGAAAAAAAATATAAAACGAGAAAGCAGCATGAGGTCATTGAGGCTTTTGTAACTCAATTAAATTTTCATTTTTCTTTCACGCATCAACTAAATAGCTTGCGAATTTAAAAATTTGAATTTTTTTTTGATTGTTTTATGCCTAAATGTTTGATTTCAAAAAATTAATTGTTTAAATTTTCGTTAATTTAACAACTGCATTAATGAGTTATGCTCTTTTTAAAAGTATTAGTGCCTACGCACATGCTGGTCGAACAATTTTAAAGCGCATTTCTATAATAAATTTATTTTCAAAATTTTCGTTAATGCATTTTTCTTGCAATACTCATACATACAAACCTACTTCAAAAGTACTCTACACAGATCTTTGCAACTCGTCATCAATTAATTAAAATTATTTTTTTCATTTTTGTTTAATTTAAAATTGTCGTTGCAAATATAACAAACTACTAGTTTTTCATTTCCATAGTGATATACATAGATATTTTGCCTCCTTTGTTTTTTTGTTTTTCTTTTGTTTTTTCTTAAAAAAAGTTACATACATTTAGTAATTTGACATTTTTCACTCAATAAAATCTAATTTTTAAACACTTTGGCATCCTTTTATCCCAACTGTGCCTGGCTTAACACATTAAAAGTGTTTTTGTTTTTACCTACATATATATACAACTACATATAGAAATGTATGTAGGCAAGTTGTAAATGCTTTACATAAAGAAAGAGTCTACTAACCAGTTCTCCAAGCAGATACTAAGCAGTTTTCAGTTTTCAGTGTTCAACACTTTCGAAACACTCATTTTACATATGTATGTATGTATGTATGTATGTATGTATGTATGTATGCATATATGTGTGTATTTAATATTTTGTTTAAATTGTTTTCTAAGCGAATCTAAGCTGTGGGAAGGAAGTGTCTACAAAATCGCACTATAGATTGGTCACAGTCTCGAACAGCTCTGCTCTTCATCAAAGCGTGAATTTCTTCAATGTGTTGTTGCCACAACCAAAAAATTTCTTAATTAAGTTTGGAACAATGTTGTTGGCTTCATATGCATGTATGTTGTTGTACAAGTGCACATGCACATATAGTTGTATGCATGTATGTGCGTGTGTGCGTCAAGTCAGCCTGACAACCTTAGCTGATGTTGCTGCAACTGGAAACTGTAACATTCAATGGATTCATTTTGCCAGCAATTGCTGCGGAGGACCTGTAAGCAAAATGAAAAAAAAAAAATATTAAAAAAAAATTAAAACAAAACACATAATTGGAAAAAATTGTCAAGCTACTAGTTGTTGTTGCTGCTAGTTATTCTATTGCCCGCGCACTTACCTATTGTGACGCATGTGACTCTTAACTAGGTCACTATTAACCAAAGCCGCCATCAGACTCAATTCGCCCGCCATCACTGTAGCGCATACAATTTGTGCCAGTTTTTTTGCATTCTCACCGGGATGCGTTTGATTTGCACCGCGCACGCCCAACATATCGAGGCAGGCCCCTTGCCCGGGCAGTCCTGTGCCGCCACCCACCGTGCCCACCTCCAACGAGGGCATTGTGCAGGTCATATACAAGTCTTCATTATTTTGGCCGCAACACTCCATGCCGGTGGAGCAATTACTCGATGTGACATTCTGTGCTGGATCTTGTCCGGTGGCTAGGAAGACGGCTGTCACCATGTTGGCGGCGTGTGCATTGTTGCCTGTTTGTGGTTGATAAATATAAGTGAGTGGATTTATTAGTGTGTGTAAGGAAGCAAATAACAAAATACTAAAAATATATTCATATTTGTACATATATATATATATAAATATTAAAAAATGAAAAAATTAAGTCCATCTTAATTGTTCTTCCCCAGCAAATGGTTTACGGTTGCCCGGTCTGTCTCTGAACGACATTTTTGTAAAATTGTTCAATGGAACGTCAACTTCAATAGAACTCAGCTCAGATATTGCTAATCCCTGGCATTGATTTAGACGCCGGGGACTAGCTCGACGCAGTTGAAAAAATTAAAAGTCTGTGAAAATATCGCCCTGAGTACTTGTAACGGCAAACCAACATACTAATGCCTTGCATGTCTACAAGTATGCACCACTAGGAGGCCCTCTACGGTAGCCACTATTCTAGCAAACACCTACTGGAAGCTGAACCACCACCGAGATACATGAGGAAGGAAGTGATCTCATATGCCGATTATTGCTCGATATTGGTTATCTCGACTACATTTCCCACCTCTTCACTGCAAGACAGTTATGACTACAGCCAGCAAAAGCCTCGGCTACCCATTTCGCCAGCTGGACGAACGAGTACCGGCTCGAGCTCGATGTGAAAATCGATGGCGTACAAATTCAGACTCAAAACAACCCCAAGTTATTGGGAATCACATTCGACAACCTGCTCTCCTCCTCTGCAATTTCTATAAAACTCCAGGGCCGCAATAAAATCCTCAAAGCCTTAGATGGTAGCTCCTGGGGAAAAGACAAAGAAACTTTGTTGGAAAACTTACGAGGTAAGTGGACGGCCTGTTGTAAACTATCCTGGGCGCCGAACACTAGCGAAAATGCACATGAAGAAGTTACAAGCTTGCCAAACCACGGCGCTCAAACTGTGACAGGAAACTTTCGTATGTCGTCAGAGCATCACTTGGGCAGTAAAGCAACTATGCAACAATTTTCGCTGGGATTCTACTGCAGGGCGCACCCCAACAGACTCGTACCAGAAGCCGAACCACTACCTAGGCACATCAGGAAGGGAGTACTCGACTGTAAGAAGTGCTTTTAGCACCACCTGCAACAACCACTAGACAGAACGGCATACCAATGGCCATTAAACGCCATTCACTGAGTTTTTGGCAACACCTTTCTGAACACTCTTTCAGTGAATGGCGTTCCACCACGTTGAGAGTCCAGCGTAATACGAACACAACCAACACAAGAGTAAACTCTTACCTATCCAGACTCGACCACGACGTTCCCGATGTATATCCTGTATGTAATGAGTCTTAGCATGATACTAACTACTTCTTTTCATGCCGCCTAAAATCAACTCATCAAACCCCTTCCCCTCTGGTCCGTCAAAACTGCGCATTTCCTGAATTGCCTGTTAGATGACTTCGAAGACTTACACTGATTTAGCCTGCTCTTTAGCGGGATTAGTGAACCGCTACAACAACAACAAAAACGTAATTAATAAAGTACAGATCCACTTGACAAGACGACAAACCAACAGGCCCTAAGCGCTCTTCACGGAGAGTCTATCAAACACCTTTATAAAAGCTCTTCCTTTGGATGCAGTGATTGGTATCCAGACTAAACTCGTAGTAGACGAAGAGAGTAATACTGGCGCAATTAAGGTCGGGAAATTTTTGGTAGACTCCTACTTGTCCAGACTTTATCCTTACTTACCGAGTGTTAATCCGGCTTGCAATTAGTCCCCCTTCCCACTCCCACAACTGATCTAATACCCTTTTACATCTAGCCGGAACCCGAAGCTTCTCTTTTTCTGGTGACTTCGACGACTATACCTGCTGCTAGGCGGTGTTAAGCTAACCGCTACAACACAAACTTTTGGAACTTTTTTTTATCGGTTGAGCTGATTTTACATTACGAGCTAGCCTTGACAGGTAGACCAAGAACTGTCTTCTCACCAAGATCGACCGTTGATTTTTTCACCTCATTCATTTTGAGCGCAAACGTTTCATGCTAGGCAGAATTGAATGTCGGTCCGGGAGGCTCTAGCAGTGGATTTAAGTCGAAATAAATGACTGAGTTGAGTTCAGACAGGTTATTTAGGGTCAGTACGAAATACAAAGGGAATCTCCGCTGTTCACATTATTGGGGAAAGGTTTTGCAAGGTAAAGAGTTCAAAGACGCATCTATACTATGTAATTTTACCGTTAGCTGCACTTTGCCTAAATCGTTTATATTTATAGGTTACTATTTATCGACCAGCCTGCCATATCATGTTAGATATTCTTGATTGGAACTAAGATAATGGAGATATTTAGGAGGAGCAGGAGTAAAGCAACTGGACCGAGTAGCTTTTATAAGGGTTTAAACGATCTCCTCGCCAAACGCTGATTAGGCAAAGTTAGCCCAGGTAAAGACTTATACAATCAGAGTTACTTAACTCGCATTGAGTACTTCACACCTTCCGGAAAGTGCTGAAAGAACCCATTTCCTACCCACGGGGCTCCGTTTCATCAATATTTAGTGGTTTAGAAGGCAATCGAAAAGCTTTATGGACCGGTTTCATTTCTCTCATCTAAAGTCTCACAGCTTCAACTTAACCTCAAACTTAAATTAGCAATTCAGAGGTACTTACCACCTATACTGCCGGCCATGGCACTTCCGGACATATTCTTCAATTTATTGCATTCCACCAATGTCTTCGCATCCGTTTTAAGTATAGTACGCAATGTTTGTGCCGTTATGATGCATTCGGTTACGACGCGCTTACCACGTCCCTTAATCCAATTGATTGCCGCCGGCTTTTTATCACAACAGAAATTGCCACTCAACGAAATTATTTGCATGTCAGGAAATTCATTTTTGATAAACCTCAACGCCATCTCGGAGCCCTTCGACACCATATTCATGCCCATAGCATCGCCGGTCAAAGCGACAAAGCGTATGTACAGTTGCGGACCATCGATGGCAATTAAACATTCCCTAAGACGGCCAAAACGTGATGTGGAATCGAACTCGGCCTTGATCTTTTTGTAGTTTTCCTCATTGTTAATCCAATTTTTCGCCTCCACTGCACGTGATATACTAGCGAAACGCACGCAGGGCGCACGAGTCATGCCCACATCCTCCACATGAGAGATAACGCCACGCACAGAGAGTGCCTTACAACCGCGATTAGTCGATGCGACCAGTGCGCCCTCAGTCGTTGCCATCGGCACGAAATAACGTTTCCCATCGAGAAGTAGCGGACCCGCAAAACCCACCGGTATTGGCACATAGCCGATCACATTTTCACAACAAGCATTCATCACTTTGGTATAATCGAAATGCTGGTATGGCAAGCAACCCATACGATCGCGTGGCATTTTGGCGCGTTCGCACAACACTTCTCTGCGTATGTGCACACCACGCTCTGGGTCATCCAGTATGGATTCGATATTATGCAGCGGACAGTATTGACTAGCGGTGTTGATGATCATTATGACTTCTTCATCGGTTAGTTGGGCCGGTGAGACGCTGTCATCGGTGGATTGCAAAATTTCTAGACATTCCTGTAGTGGACGTGCTGGAGGTGGATCGAATTTCTCTAATGGCAGTAATTGGCTAAATTCAGTGATTGCATCGGTTTGTGTGTGTACGTTAACTGAGTTCTGCTCTTCGATTGTGAAGAGTGGTAAGCGTTTACGTAGACTACCATTCGGTGGCGTCACAACCAATACAGGAACTTTGGGTATGAACTCCGTTTGACTTGCGTCATCGACGGTGACGGGCGCAACGGACGCCAAGGCAGTGTCATCGTTAGCCTCTTTCGAGGCGAGAGCGACCGAGGATTGACGCAGCTGATCGTGTAAGTCGTTACGATGTTCGAAAAAGATAAACTTCACCACCAAAGCAATAAGCAGAATGAGTATGACGACCTGGTCGGCGCTCATGGTAAGCCATCTGGAGGATGAAGAGAGAGCCATTAATTTATGAAATAGATGAAGTGATTTCAATTAGTAGAACGGAAGGAATACTAATTTATACGATATTGAAATTATTTTCTCTTTTAAACGAACAATCTGACTGGGAGGCGGAGGCTTGTCCGCCCAAAAAAAAGAAAATGAAATCTTATCTTTCAGTTATCAGCTGTCGCCCTCCACCAAAAAACTCCGCATACTTACTTGATAATCATATCCGTAAATTCGCCCGACTCCGTGCGACTGCTATTGGCATTCAAATTCATCTGCGGCGAGAGCTTCTTATCTACCGTCTCATAATCGCTGCCGGAGAACACAACGCGACTGTAGATATGCACGACCATTAGACCAGTAGTCATTATGATTTTCACACGTTGTACCACGGGATTCGTTTTCTGCTCTTCATCGTTCAATGCCTTCAACAGTATCGAGTCTTTGGCCTTAGCACGCACCAGCGACATATCCATGCCGTTGCGTGACAAGTCGAGTATCAGCGACAAACAGGCTGGATAGAAGGTCATGAAGACAACATAATTGACAATTACAGACATAACGGCAAATGTGCAGAGCACTTCCAGACGCTGCACGCCCGACAACGTGCCCACGCCAATCACCAGCGTCTCCACAATCGTATCCAACGTTATGGCCGGTCCGAGTAACTCTAAACCGCGTGCAATATTATTTGTCACCTCAGCCTGATTGGTGCCGAATAGTGCCAGCTGTGCAAGTGTGCCCGAGTTTGTAAGATCGATTACGAGTAGCATAAAGAAGAGCGCATCTCTGCGAAGCAGAAATAAAAACAAATAATTACTGTTATATGCAAATAATTTCAAATATGCGTTTGCACATTGACATAAGGAAGTGCAATTTACGAAATTACGAAACAATAATTAATTGCTGCTCGTTTGCATTTTTGTTTTTGTTTTTCTAACAACAAGTATACTCACTTCAAATCGGACATATCACTGCCAAGGAACTTTATTATAGTTGTCGTAAAGATAAAACTCGAGAAGACCGTAAATAGTCCAGCGATTCCTGCAAAAAATAAGTAAAATTTATTATTTATAAGGTAATTAAATTTTTTTGTTGTGGTGTGTGCGTACGCAGAATGCAAAATGCAGAGGCAGAAGTATGTGGGCATACACCCATAAGTACGAGTATAATACCCTGCAGGAAAAAACCGCGTTGTGTACTTGAAGCCAACAGAGGTGGCTCTGTAAACGGATGTGGAACAACATCAGAAGCACAGTCTGAATTGGGGAGCACCTCGCTGAACCGTTCGTTATAAAACGAGGTTTCATACAGGGAGCTTCTTTACCGCGCTATTTCTTCAATTTGATACTTCAGGAAATAATAAAAGCCACAGAGCTAAAGAGAGAAAGTACAGTCGGTGCAAGAATGTGCAACTGCTGGCGTATGGCAACACGGGTATAACAACCCCGCCGTTAGTTCTGTTTTCGCCAAGCTTGACATAGAAGCGAAGCGAATTGATCTGTTAGTGAACGAGGACAAGACGAAATACCTCTTGTCATCAAACAAACAGTCGAGGCTTTTATGGCTTGACTCCAACGTCACTGCTGACAGTCATAACTTCCAAGAACGTAGATAATTTCATGCACCCAAGCGATCAGCATTAACTCCAATAATATTGTGAGCCTTGAAATTTAAAGCAGACTAACACATGCCAACAGCTGTTGCTTTGAACTTAGCAGACAATTGAAAAGTTAAATGCGAACCAAAACCAAGCTCGACAAGTAGCTCATCAGTCCAGTCCTACTATAAGATGGGGAATCCGATGAGATGGTCTTGCGAGTCCTCGAGAGAAAAGTTTGGCGCGGGATTTAACGTCCTTTGCACATTTGCTACGGCAAATACCGTAGACAATGGAAGGTTGAGATTTACGAGTTATATGATGACATTAATATAGTTCAAGGAATGAAGAAACAGCGACTATGTCGGCTAGAACATGTCGTTCGAAGGAATGAAAGCGCACCAGCTATGAAAGTAATCGATGCAGTACGCGCCGAAGCAGAGGAAGAGGAAGTCCACCACTTCGTTGGAAAGATCAGGTACACAGCAACCTGGTTTCGGTTTGTATTTCCAAACGTCGCCAAACAGTGAATGGCGCGCTATTGCTAATTCGTCTATAATTGTGTAGGCGGTGCCCACGATAAAGAAGGAGCAAAAGCAGTAACTGGTATTTTTACCACTGTGATGTCCTACAGTCACTTGTCCTTTTATGCAATAGCTTCATACTAGTTGTATACTAGTTAATTGTAGAACAACGAGCAGAGTGAGCAGCCCGATACATGCTCGATCCTCGTTCGTTTCTCAAATGTCTACTTGAAATGTTTCGATTTAAACTTTGGTTGTCAAAACTATTTTTTAGAATTTCAATATGTTCTAAACTTTGTAGAAATAAATTTAAAATTATAGAAAGTAGTTCTAGGTAAAAAGTCAAATTTTTAGTTTGAAATTCTCGATTTCGTGCTTGAAAATTTTTGAGCAACGAGCAATAAACAAGTACAACAGCTCGCTGCTCCATCTACTCGAAAATGTCCGAACAACATCTGGAGATTTAGTTCATTTACACATGTTGAAGTTCTACTTCACGAAAAATTAAAATGAAGATAAAGAATGTATTTGTCCGCAGTGATATTCGAGCCCTGTATTTTACGCACCACAGTGATAACCTCCAACTATTCGACTATCGACACGATGCAGCGTGGTTCGTCATATTGCGCTCTTTCTAGAGAGCTTAACTGAGAATGGAACTCCTCAGCCGTGGTGTGCTAGATATAACCACAACATGCGGTGTTGAAAATTATCATTATTCCCGTTGTTGGTGAACTGTTGTACATTTAATCAACTAGTATAATTTCATCTTGAAAGTACTAGTATTTGACCAGTTTTTTCGCGCACTAGTCTACCTTCTCCCTGCTGGGTACGTCTAAGCGAATATACGAGTATACATGCGTGTATGTTGTGTTTGATATATATGTCTGTGTAATATGACGGTAAAATACATCACATCCATATAAAAATAATAATTTATGCACATTTGTATTCATGAAACATCGAACAGAATATGTTGGGCATTAAAAAATGTCCTTCATCTTCTGCTACTAACTCGAATTACAGAGGAAAAAAATTTAATTTATCAGATTTTTTTATTATACGAGTACTAGAATTTAGTGAGTAGCAAAAAGGAAGAAGACCTGAAGTAAGTAGCCGGACACCAGTGATTATATGTGCATTTTCTCTTCGCTATTTTGTTCGGGTTTCCCTGTTTTCAAGTGAAATAAGGAAAAGTCACAAGAAGCAGCGGAATATGCGTCGTCCCTAATGTAGCCTCAACAGTTCTAGAGATACAGGTGTGTTTTGATATTTAAAGAAAAATGGCATTTCTTGTGATAAATGATCCGATGTTTTTTTAAATGTAAAGCGGAAGTTAGGCCTGATACAGATTGGTTGCCACGGCTACGCTTACAGGACCGTTATTATTTTTATGAAATTTTCCCATTACCAAATCGCAAAGTGGCTTTTTTATGCCCTCAATAGCTTCATCTTTGAGGTCTGTGGCGTAGATCTTATGCTTCACGTGGCCCTAAAGGAAGAAGTCGCAAGGTGTTAAATCACAAGATCTCGGTGGCGATCACCTTTTTAGAGAGATAACACACTCCGGAAACTTCTACCTTAAAAGATCGTCGATAATCTTCCCTCGATAGCGCAATCTATTCACTGTAACTTTGTCCAGGCTACCCGCCGGGCAATAAACTGCGTTTTCCGAGCCCCAGTTGTGACAGTTTTGCTTATTGACGTAGCCATCGAGGTGGAATTGAGCCTCATCAATATCTCTTTTTCGCAATAACCAAGTGCTTACCGTTGCGTACTAACGTTTGGAAGGCCAGGTTTCAAGTACTGGTGTGACCAAAGTTATAAACAATTAATTATTTCAGTCGCCTTCGCCCTTTGACAGGAAATTTCAAGCTCTCCGAGTGAATTTCTGCCATAAATTAAAAAGCTCCTCATGAAAATACAAAAGCCGTTCGCAGGCGGTCCCTCTTTGTTTTGGGAAAACATTAAGGCGCACAGCACAAATCGAAGTAGGAGCTCGGTGGGAAACCGTTGCAAGGCAATAGACTGTCTTTTTGGCGTAAAAATTTGGCTTGTACTGTAGCACATGCTATGAAATTTTTAATATATATTTGCGATTGAAAGGTATTTCAAACTTTACACTGATTGTTCGAAGCATGAAAAGTTCTAGTTGTCACGGTAAATAATTTTTGGAGCTCTGCTTATATATTGTCTGTTCTGTCGCTTTATCTAAAAAATATTTTACTGTTGATTTTTAATTTAAACCACTTAAGCGGTTACATAGGTCTTGAAGGCCAAAAAAAAAATTTTTTTCTCTAAACTTTTTTAAAAGACACTAAATAAAGTATACAATTTATTTTGTTTACATATAAAAGTACATTATGTGGACAACATTTGATGAAAATATGGGGGAAAAAATAGTATAAGTTAAGGCGTTGGCAGTGGCGTGAAGTAGACCGTCCACAAGAAAGTGCTTACGCGGTAGTCATGATAACCTTTTCAATTTTTATCTGAAATCAAAAATCTAATTTTTTTCTTAAAGTAGCTGATTTTTCCTTGTCCCTAAACTAATAAAAATTAAATAAACTAAAAATTTAATTTTTTAGCGCTTTGTACAAAAACAAAAAACGTAATTTTTTGCATAATTTTAGGCCTTCATTTTGGCTTGTAAAATGAGTTGAAATCAGCGATAAAAAAATCCTTCGTTCAGAGACTATAAAAATGTGCTTAAAAGAAGTGTGGAAATTTCAACTCGATCGCTTCAATAGTCGTTGAGAAATTTTGACTATTGAATTCGATAAAGTGGTCTTAAGAAAAACGCGTTTAAAGTTTCGCCATCGGTCAAGCCATGACAAAGACAGCGGGTTATAAAACTCTCTAATTTCTACAGTTTCCTCGCGATCGACTTGAAACTTGGGGAAAATATTCCTGACACTTTGTACTTTTATACAAAACATGATAATACTTATGTAAGCTCTTAACGCACATTTTTTTTTTAAATTTAACTTAATATTCATACACACATACACACTCATATACATACATACATAGTTAACTACAAACATAAGTAATGGCAGAAAAATTAAGTGAGTATTTTAATTGCATTAGCAGTTGAACAAAAATCTAAGCACATTACATACATGTACATACTCAACTCAACATACATACTTACATATGTATGATAAGTACGCACAGACATTGTTGAATTTTGCGATTTAAGCGCAGAATTAAAATGCATTATCTTTTTTTGTTTTTGTTTTTGGTTTTGGGTTTGGGTTTTTGAGAGAGCATTAAAGCATAAGTGCAAACATTAAACGGCCTTCGGTGCGAATTTTATGGCGAAATTTTAATGGATTTTTGTTATGTTCGAATGGACTACCGAAAAGCTGCTGTACGCTTCAGCGAGCGAGTGAACAGAGTTAAAAAAATGTCGTTTCACTGAAATACTCCACTTTTGGATTTGAAATGAAAAAAAAAAACAATGCGAAAATGCATTATATGTTATGTGTATGTATATACGTGTATGTATACATAGGCAAAGCCTTTACCAACGGGCACGTAAGCGTAATTAACTAGATTTGTTTTTATATACATCATATACATATGTATATATGTATGTATATGTTAGTATATACTCTGTCAAACATTTGTGAAGCAGGAGTAACCCAATAAGTACTCCTCTGAAATGTGCTAGTGGACCAATGCACTTATCGCTGCCAGCCTGTTTTTAGCCGAGAATTGTTGCTGTTTTAACGGTCGCTATTACTAAGCGAAGTTGCAGGTGCGCAATGAGATTTACAGAAAATCAAGGATATAAATAATCAAAAAAAATAATTTTTTCATTATCATTCGTTTGTTGCGCTCTACTAAAGGGTGATTTTTTTGAGAGCTATAGGAAAGTTTTTCAAAAGAAAAACACATAAAATTCAGAAAAATGC